CCCCCAGCTCTTGAAGGAATGCTGGGAGCACAGGGTGCCAGAAACATGACACAGGGACAAGCCAATGAGATTTGGGTACTTCTAGAAGTGAATGGAACCTTCTGGCAATTTCCAGGACATATGCCCCACCTGGCCCTGAGGGGACAGGCAAGATGTGAGTCAGGTTTCAACGAGAAGACAGGAGGAAACAACGGTGTAGCTGAGAGGCTGATGACACCAGGGAGAGGGTGAGGACATTGGGGAAAGGATGGGGACATTAGGGAGAGGAAGGGGACAGGAAATTATGGGGCTTTTTGATCAGCAGCCTATAGCTATGGGAAGGGTCTGGAATCACAGAAGTAACTGAAGAAAGCCGTGAATTTGCCCAAATACCTCATTTTTATAAACTTTTAGTTAGAAATGTGATTCTGAATTATAACAATGTACCTAAAGAATTAGGAAATCATATTTTTGATAACCTAATCGTAATCCTGGAAAAATATGTTTTGTTCCTTGGGGTGGCACTGAGTGTGAAGGTGCATGAGGTCTGCAATTTGCTCTCACAATTCAGAATAAAACGTGTATTACATGTGTTTGAGTATAATATGTAACCATGTATACACACATATGCAAAGAGAGACAATACAGGGAGGCAATTGTGACAAAACATCAACCACTGGGCAATGTGAGGGTGGGAGTGTGGGGTCTCTTGTACTAATCTTACAACAATAACCTTGGAATTATTTCAAAGGAAAAAGTTACAAGAAAACCAGCCTTTAACTGGAAGCTTCCTCCAGAGCCCAGAGCCCAGAGCCCATCTCCAGCATCCAACTGGGCTCTGTCCTGATCCTTACTCCACATTTCCGAGTGGTGTGCTCACTTAGGGAGGGTTCCTATGTAACAATGTCGACTGCCTGTGTCCTAATAAAATGACTTCACAAAGGCAGACAATGGAAGGATATAGATGTTTGGCAGCTTTATAAGATCTAAAGGGTTCCCATGATGGGAACTACGAGAACCTTCTGACACACTGGGTCAGACAGGGAAGCCTCTGTAGCTGTGTCTTTACAGGATGGTTCTGAAGACTGTAACTTGGAGGGAATGTTCAGATACAATGTGCCAGCAACTGCAGGCACCAGAGTGGGCAGGTTTGAACTATAATGACCCCAAAATATGCCTGAAGGCTAGCCTCTGCCCTCCTGGTGCTATAGTGACATCTACAAGGTCCCCCTCCCCTGATGTGGGAGCTGTCAGGCCTGTGCACTTTGCTCCCTGCACACAACAAGGGTCAGGGGTCAGGGGAGTACATCCCCCCAGCCTGGCTCTCCTGCAGGAGTAGGCAGGTGTGCGTAAGAGCAAGTGTATGACACACTTCTCTTCCTTAAGAGCTGATGGGGTGGGGAGTCAAACTGGCTGGGAAATTTTTAAAAGCAATCAGGGCTCAATGGAAAATAAGAAAATGTCACCTTTGTGTCATTGGCTTTGGTAACAAAAGAAACCAATGGAAAACAAGGAAGAAAAAGAGAGTTACAAAAAGGAGACAAAAGGAAAACTATAACAATCACAGAAAAGTGAGAAACAGGGCTGTGCAGTGAGCAGAGGCTGCACCACCCCCTTCCCACCCAGCTCCCTGAGCCAACGAGAACGGATGGGGGTGTGAGGGCTGCAGCCTGGCCCTTCCCGAGCATGGTGCTTACCAATGGTGCAGGCCACAAAGTAGACCCTGGATGACTGCACCTGGATGTCAAACCTGTGGCAGTATGCCACAAGCAGCCCTGGGGAGGAAAGAGAACATGGGCCAGGGTCCAAGCCAGAGCCCTGGATGAGAGCCGGGTGACCCCGTGGGAAGGGGCCAGGCACTATGCATGGTCTTGTCTAACAGTGATTACTGCTATTTCACAGATGACCACTCTGCCAGCTCAAAATGGAGCTATGACCCGAGACAGTGAGTCAGCGAATATCCCACAGCACAGAGGAGCACGAGGTCCTGCCTGGGTGGACCCTGGGTGCAGTGGGGCTGTCAAGGCCACATTCTGCCCTGGGCAGCTAGCCCCAGGCAGGCATGTCTGTGCAGCTATGACCCACAGGGCAGGGCTGACGCCTGGGGTCAACATGGGGCCACCTCGAACATGCACCAGCCCTAGGTGCCACCAGCCCCACCAGCTGGGCCCATCTCCACCCAATGGCCCCCGACCCAACACTACCAGGACACTTGGGTGTCCTCAGGACTGTGGAGTCACCCACCCACAAGCCCAGCCCCCATACCTGGGACTAGGATGTCCCCAAAACCCAGGAGGGAGAAGGGCCGGTCACATAGGGCCAGTGGCGAGGCATTCAGCCTGGGCACCTTCAGGACCATGGGCAGCTGTGGGGAGAGGAGGGAGTGCCTGCAGACCAGCCCAAGCCTACAGCTCCCCTCTGGCCACCAGGGTCTGAACATACCTTCTCATGTGTGGCTGAGTCCGAAGGACCAGTCGCCACCTCTACCATGATACTGTTCCCGCTCTAACAGAGGAGGGCCGCATCAGAGTAGGGGCGTAGGGCATGGGGTTCGGGCAGTGTGGGAGGGGCAGGGCAGGGGGCAGGGGCTCCCACCTTGGTCAGGAAGGGAGTGATGAACACGAAGAAGACGTCATAGATGAACAGCACCAGCAGCAGCAGCGTGCAGGCCTGGGGAGAGGTGTCCTAAGGGGCCAGCCCAGGAACCCCAGGCACAGACCCACAGAGAAATCCCCACACTCTTGGTTCCCTTCACAAGGCTCAGACTATTCCCGCTGGGATGAAGTCTTTCTGAGAAAGTCTGAGCAACACCCATCCCAGCCCTTGGGCAACAGGAGACAAAGGAGTATTCCAGAGCGATGTCCAGTGGAGGGTTGGGGGCAGAGCATAAGTCACACTCTCTACGTTTCCCAGTAATTGGGAAAGGTGGCAGAGGTCAGCAGTTGGGGGACATATGTTATGTGATGGGTCAGCTATGGGTCTGGGGAGGTTGATGACCCTCTTCAATTTCCCCATGTATCTCTAAGTTATTCCCACCAGATCTTGTGGACAATAACCTTGGGCCCCAAGCTCAGAGGGGAAGGCCAGGACAGAGCTGGGTGGCAGGCAGGCCTGGCCACTCAAGGGACAGGGCTGACAGAAAAGGTCCTCAGGACTCAATCCCCCAGGACCCCCGCCCCTGGAGCCCTCACCTTGAAAGTGGGAAGGCGGATGGTTTTTAGCATGTAGAGACAGAAGGCGATGCCCAGCGCATCCTGAAGGATCCAGGCCCACCTGGAGGGCAGAGTAGCATCATTTGCTAGGACAGACTCCACCAAGAGCCAGATCTGTCCCTCCTCAGCAACCTTATCCACACCAAGTAGTCTGAAACATCTCACACCAGTCCTGACCCCGCCATGTTCTGAAGGTTCAGGCACTGTCAGAGGCAGCGGTGTGGGTTCCAAAACCTGTGAGATGGACCCCACCTTGTTGGGACAGGTGGGGTAGTGATGGATGACGGGGCAGGGGGTAAACGAACCCTCCACCCTGATGCCAAGAGGCCAGAGACAGATACATGCTGGGCCCTCTGTCTCTCTACAGTGGTGGTGGCTTTCATACCCAGATCACAGGATGGGGTGAGAAACTTGTGCCCAGCCAGGTTCCACAGAGTTTTTGGCCCCATGGGAAATTAGGGCTCGGACCACCAGGGGCAGGCTCTGAGGATGAGCATCTGGAATTCCCTGGAACAGTCCCATGGGAACAAGAAGCAGATGCAAGACTCATCTCAAATACCTACATATTAACCCAACACCACCCAGGCGCTGCCGTTCTACAGACACACTCCTGAATCTGCATATTAAATTTGTGCTGTTAAGTCTTACATTTAGGCTCTAAGAAATAACTCGACAGAGGGCCAGCAGAGACATGGGACATTCATCCTGTGCAGCCCCTCCCGCCAAGGCTGTGGAGATGATGCAGTCCCAACCTGGCTGGCCCTGCCTGGGCTCTGTCCTCCCCTTCCTGCCTCGCCCTGCACCTTGGCCAGGGCTCTGCCTGTCCACCTCACTCATCAGATGCTTCACCAGACAAAAAACCAAACGTCTCCCAGCCAGAGCAGGTTAAAGAACAGGGAAATTTCGGAGGCGGCAGGTGGGTGCATGTCAGTTGCATGCACCCAGAGAACCTCAGCCTGTTCTAATTTTATACAAGTCTCTTGGCTTAGATTGAACTGTGAGAGTTTGGATTCTCTTTGTATACAAAAGACTCAAAATATTTTCCCATTGTCCTTCTGCCACTTAAATCTGCTATGGCTCCAAAAAGAGGTGCCGCCAAGAACATTTAACTGCCTTGGGAAAGGCTCGTTGAGAGCGCCAGATGGTGTCAGTGATAGCAACAGGGGGCTGGGCAGGAACAGGCCGGCTCTGTCCTCCCATCGCAGCCTGGGCTCCAGGCCACAGAGCGGGCATGCTGCCTCAAAGGGGAGGCCGAGCCTAGGGGAAGCAAGTTCTCTGAGAAGCAAGCCAGCCTTCCTAAACCATCGATGAGAATGCTGGCTGAGCACACCCCTTGGGCACCACCTCGGGAGCAGTGGGGACAAGTGGCGCCAGGGCAAGGGAGCGGCTTCCCCTCCCACTGCCCAGGGCCCCATTGAGGCCATCCTGGAGAAAGACAGCTTGGAGTGCCCAGGCCAAGAGGGTTTGCAACATCTCATATCCAGATCCAATCAGAGTTCAAATGAAACTAGACGCAGGAGGCAGGCAGGCAGGGCAGCCACGGCTGGGAGGCCGTCAGCTGAGCCCAGTCAACACCTGGACATCATTTGGCCACCGCTTCCAGAAGACTAAAAGGAGGGCTTTTAATAACCAAGGAGGTGAACTGGCTCCAGGTGCCCCCAAACGGCCTCAGGGGAGGTACAGGAAGGTTGCAGTCCAGCACTCAGAGCATTTGAGGACAGCCCTCAAGAGGGAGGTGCCACCCAACGGCCAGGGGCCTCCCAGGGGGCTGTACTTACTGGTCCTCATTCCGGAAGATTCCCCACACCACGCTGACAGCCACACAGAACAGTGCCAGGAGCAGCATGCGGACCTGAGGACACTTGTGGAAGTAGGGCAGACTGTTGTTGCAGATCCTGAGATGGGTAGGAGAAAAGGGGGCGGTCGTCATGGGCAGCATGCCTCTCACCCTCCCAACTGACCTCTGACCCTTAGAGCTTTGTTCCCACCCAGCACCCAGAAGGGTCATCTCAACTCCTGCCCAAAAGCCCCTCAGCCCCCTCAAGTCCTGACTCCAACAGGCCTGCTGCCCAGGCCTCCAGCTGTCCTCCAGGCTCTGCCCTAAGAGGGGCCACGACCCTGCCCACCTGGCCCTGCTCCTTCCTCTACTTCACATTCTCTAAGCCCATAATCCCCTTGCCTTTTATTACACTTCTAGAAGGGAGGTTCCCAAGAGCAGAGAAGAATCGGGTGGGGGCAGGCACTCAGGGTGAGCAAACCTTGGCCAGTTTCCAAGCTAGCCTGCCCACAAGAGCCTACAGGAACTTACAAGAGCAGCCCATAAGAGCCCACAAGAGTTCAGGAGAGCCCATGGGAGCCCTCAGCTCAGTACCATGCCTCCCAGGTCCCTGCCCTCTCACCCTTGTATGGGAACCTTAAAAGGTCTTGTCTCCCTTGTCTAAACTTTTGAGTAGCTGCCTATCTGCTCTATAAGAACCAGACTGGGCCAGGGAACCTTTAGGCCTGAACCACCAGTGCATCCAGCCATGTGGCCCAGCCCTGCCCTGCCAGCACCGCTGCCGAGTACCCACATACACCGACATCATCCCACTCAGCACCCGTGTCCCCACAGGCCCTATCTACCCTAGAATGGAAGGTGGGGAAAGGGAAGCCATCTGAGACAGCGGGAGGACTGAGAAAGTCCACTCACCTCCCCATTCTGTCCTGCTCCCAAGACCCATGAGCCCCCAGCAAGCACTGAGTGAGCATGTGCTGTAAGCCTGTGCTGTGCCAGACTGTCTGAGGCCCACAGAACAGTGAGGGGGTCCTCGAATCATGGAAGCTGAGCTTGGAGCCTCAGGGGCCAGGAAACGGAAAACAGAGTAGTTGGGCCAAGGAGAGGCTGTGGTGCAGGACCTCAAGAACAAAGCCGTGAGCAAGGGGCCATATGAGGCTGGGCAAAGGCTGCCTGAGGGAGCTCACCTGCATTTGCCAAATGGCAGCCTCTGGACCAACGGCGAAAGGCAGCTGTAGAGGCCCGTGGAGGAGGCCAGGCAGAAAATCCCAATGATCACATAGACTGCAGAGCAGGGTATCAGTGAGGGAAAGGCCAGGCTGCCGGGGTCCCAACACCCACCCCCCAGAAGGGCCCCGTGCACTCTAGCACTTGGGCAGGGTGACCTGTACCCACTAAAGGGAGGGGACAAGCCCACTCGGAAGCCCTTCCTTTCACCCTGTTGTCCACAGGACTTCTCCAGAGAAGCCATGGCCTGTGAAAACGCACCAAGATGGTCATAGAAGTAGTACAGGAGCACCAGCATGGAGCAGCACATGACCACAAAGACGCAGGTCATTACAGGTGTCACGTCCACAGCCTCGTCCTCCTGCTTCTCAGGTTCATCATCCCGCTTGTGCTTCATATACCTTCTTGAGAAGCACAGATGGGTCATGAGGACATCTGGCCAGTGGCATAGTGCCCAGGACAAAGGGCCACAGAGACAGGGGAGGACAGGCAGAGAGAGCTCATCTGTTGGGCTGTTCACCCTCTCCAGATCCATTATATGTCCCCAGTGCCCCAGAGGGGAGCCAGGCCTGCCCCCTGGACCTCACATCTTTGTCCAGGAGCTCTGGGACCTTGCAGACAAGGCTCCCACAGATGGGCCCCTGGTCACCGACTATGAGATGCCCTTGAGCACCACTAGGACTACCCACAAACCCCGTCTCCTGAGTGTGGCCCAGTCTGGGAGGGCCTGGGCTCGGATCCCAGTGCCCAAGCAGAGTCTTGGGGAATGGACCCAGAGGGCCTTTAGCTGGGTCTCCCAGCTAATCACAGCAACTGTATTCCAAAAGGTTCTCTGGGAACGTAGATGCCCCTCTTCTAGGCAGTCCTATTACTTTCATGTTTTCACTTCCCAGCATTAGGGTCACCCGTCAGTTACACACGTGCACACGTGTACATACAATGCGTGCGCGCGCACACACACACAGGGCACTCACTTCTTCACGTCCCGGCTCCCAGCCCAATAGCCCCCAAGGGCGACGGTGCCGACAGCCATGATGAAGATGATGACCATGTTGTAGTCCAGCATGGGCTCATGGGGGGCGTACAGCGCTGCCCTCACCGATCGGCCAAAATTCTGTCTCAGAGAACACATCAGAGTTCAAGGCCAGGCTGTCACCATCCCTGGGCCCCTCGCCCTACACCTTCACCCATCATTCCTGACCCCAAAGCAGTCAGCTCTGACAGAACAAGCCGTGCACGAAGGCAGGCGAGCAGCCCTGCGCGTGAGAACACAGACCCCCAGCCTAGATGTGCACATGCATGCATGAGAATGCACATCACCTGCATAACATCTAGGTGGCCCATGGGGGCACCATGGGGAGAGGAGGCCTGCATTCAGGTATGTTTACTGTGCATTTCTGGAAGTTTAACAGAGACCTTGAGATTCCCGTTTACTTATATAATGACACTCGCCCTGCTACAGACCCAGCTCCCCAAATCAAAGATGAACACAGGCCTCAGGTGAAAAAGACCTAGGCCAGGAGTGTGCAAGCAGCAGGGAGGGAGTGATGCTCAGTTTCCACATATGGGCAGCGCCAGGCTGGCCAAGCCGGGAGCCTGGGTTACTCTAACCAGCTGCGTAGGGAACTTCAGGGCCATGGTTTCCATTTCTGGATTTAAGTGGCACAGAAGGCCCACCCTCATGATGTGGCTGACTCACAGTGGGCAAGACTCACCCACAGCCAGCTCCAGACAGGACAGCCTTGCCACAGGCCCTGCCCACCATCTACTCAGGCCCTGGGCCCAATGCAGACTGAAGGGGGAGAGACCCCTACCTTGAAAATGTCCAGCATGTCTTTGTGGCTGAGCAGGGCCACGGGGATGCCGATCTCCTCATATTGCGTCTTGTTGCCTCCTGGGGGTACCTGGGAGCCCAGAGGAGGCAGATCTGCTGGCTGACCAAGGCCCACCCAGGATGGGGCAGACAGCCAACCCCTCCTGATGGCATGGCCCACAGAGCTAGCCCTCTTTCCGAGGGAGGGGAAGATTCCCTCGTGTGTGCAGAGTACTCAGGTGCCAGGCAGCATGGGAGGGGGACATGTCAGGAGGGAGGCCTACAAGCTCAGCACGACCCGCTAGGGAAGGAAAAGCTAGCCCTTCACTCAAACCTTGGGGTCAGGAGCCTATTCACCCTGCTAGGGGCCTGGAGGAGAGGCCGGCACATGGGCCCCTGCCACCTACTCCTTAGAAGGCACCTCCAGAGATTTGCCTCGAGGCCCTGTATCCCCCGACCCACAGGACTGCTCTGGGACAAGCCCACTCCAAGATGAGGGTCCAAAGGCCCAAGTCCACAGCCAGTCAGCAAACTAAACTCATTTCCCCTGGCTGTGGCCGCCTGGACCCTGGCCAGTGCCCATGTCTACTTTGAGTGGGGCCCAGGGGTTCCTTCCTGCCTCCCTTGAGCACCTCCAACCCTTGCCCTAGGTAGGTCATACTGCACAGGAGGGTGCTGAGGCGGCTGTACCAGAGTCTCCTTGCTGACGATAAGCAGCCCGTGTGCCCCGCTGCCCTGGGCCAGCCTCACTTTGTCATAGAAGGTACAGTTCCCCCGAGTCACCAGTGGAATCTGGTTGCTGAAGCCTTTCGCAGGGAGGTCAGAGGGAGAGCAGAGCACGGAGGTCGTCCAGTCCCGCAGCTGCAGGAGAGACTAAGGGGAGGCAGAGCTCATAGGAGATGTTCTAGAAAAGCCAGGGCAGGACCAAGTCTTCACAGGAACCAAGGCATCAGAGAAACCTGCCCAATTGCACTGAGCCTTCAGTATTCAGATCGCCACAGTGAGCATCACCCTGATGCCCACTCCCCTTAGGTCCCACTGGATTTCAGCCCCTTGCACCAAGAAAGGAAGAGAGGTGGAGGGTGGGCAGGGCCTACAGACACACATCAAATGCAAGGCAGACAGGAGGGACAGGGCAGTTTGCACTCAGAGCAAACCCCTCAGAAATCCTCCCTGCATCTTCAGATCCACCTCCAGCATCCATTATGGATTCAATACAAGGAGCAGGAGACTCAGCCTCTGTAGTGAGAACTCACCCACAAGAGCATCCTCCAGGTCCTCTGAGTGGAGGAGGGAGGCCAGACCAGGGATAGGGGTCTCCTATAAGAAGAGGAGAGCCCTGGCCCCGCCCTCTGCCAGCCAGCCCCCATCCAACACATGAAAGCCTGGCTGGTGTCTCCACCAGAGGCCATCCCTAGACAGAACTCCAGATATCTTTCACTCATGACCAAAGAAACTGAGGCCCACAGAGGTTGTGGGGCCCCTCTGGGGATGCCCAGAGACCTCTCAAATGTGACCAGATCCCACCCCATGGTTTCCCAGCTGAGGTCCTTCCTCTATCCTCCAGCTGGCTTTCTTGAGTCTCCTCAAGGACCCCTCTGTATACTGGGGAAAGGAGGAGAGGGACAGCAGCAAGACAGACAAGACCCCAAGCTGGAAGAGGTGCTCAGAGCCACGCAGCCAGGAGGGCCACCAGCCCAATACTCACAGCCTTGCTGAGGTCATGTGGCAGGTGGGCCCACTGTGGGTTGTAGAGGATGCAGTAGTCTTTGCCTTTGGGGCCCCCAGTCTCGGAAACCACGTGTACCATGCCATACTCACAGGCCACCTGTAGTAATGGAGCAGAGGGCAGAGAGCTCAGGGTGGGGGCTGGACCACCCAGATGACATGGGGTCCAAGTTAAACAAGGATGCCTGTGAAGGCTGGGCTGGTTTCCTCCCTCAGACAGGACAAATAGGACACACATAAGTATCTCATGGTAGAGAAAACGAGGGAGGGCAGCAAGTACAAGGACAAGTCTCCCTAGGGAGACCTGAGTGTGACTTCAGCCCTGTCAGCAGCCAGCCAGCAGACCAACACACCATGCCCATGGGCCCTTGGCCCCTCCTGGCCCCTAGGCTTCTTGGAGCTGAAAGGGCCCGTCTGGACCCTGATCAAGGTCTGCACACTTCGGGCTCCGCGGCCTGTCCTTCTGTAGCTCGTGCTCCCCTTGGGCTATAAACATCTCCAGACAGAGCCAGAGAACACACCTATGGTTTCCCCAGAGAGTCTGCCACAGAGACAAAGAGGTGGCAATTGCTCCCAACAAAGGACACATGATGGAGACAGTCACCAGCTGGCACAGTGGAACCCATACCCATACTGTGGATGTGGCTTCACCAAGGTAGGGGAGGGGCTGGGGGCTCTGACTTGGCCAAGGGTCCTGATAGACTGTGGGTCCCAACACCAGGCCTGGGGCGCAGACTGGCTCTGACAGCTGGGCCCTCTGCAAAAGCAGAGCCAGGCTACTTTGGGAGCTCTTACCCTGACCCTGGTCACCTGGCAGTGGTAGCAGCATGGAGAAAAGCCCTGGGTGCCCCAACCTCAAAGTCTGAAGACTGATACCAGGCACTGGGTGCAAGTCCCACTTTCCATAGTCCCCAGCTGCCACTGTTCCAGACAGCCCATCAGCTTGGGCACTTCCATTCGTCACCTTGAGTGAGGCGCTGACCACTAAAGCAGTGCTTACATGGTGCTGAGCTCCAAAGAAGCTGTGTTTCTAGGCCACCCAGCTTTCCGGGAGGGAAGGGCAAGGCGGTGGACTACCTGAGGCCAACCCAAGATCTCAGAGCATTTCACTAAGGCAGCATCATGCCACACCTGCCTCTGTTCCCACCTCACATGTCACCTTGTTCCCTTCACTGAGGGTAGAATTAAAAGGCCCCTCTTCTAGGTTCTCCCCACTAGGCTGCCCTCCAAGGGTGCCCCTCATCCTGGCCCCAAGTACCGTACCTGGTGTATGTCCCCTCCAATGCTCAGAGCCCCCGGCACCTCCTCACCCTGGGACCACTATGGGGAGCAGTAGAGTCCCTCAACCCCTGGGTTTCATCAGCCCACTTTCTGTGTTTGCATATAAAGTTTTATTGGAACACAGCTTCCCCATGCCCATATGCAGAGCCTCTGGCTGCTCTCAGCTGCCACTGAGTTGGGCAATTGCCTGCAAGGCTGAAAATATTCACTACCTGGCCCTTTCTGGAAAGTTTGCTGACCCTTGACCCATGGGAGCCAGGCTGTTGATGAAAATTATCATTTGTGTAAAATGGGAGTGGATAGAAACTGGTTCTTTTTTAAAAAGACATTTAAGAACCCACAAGCACACTTCACAAACTTTCTTCCCCACGACTTGTACAAATAAGCCAGTGCTTGTATCAAACACCAGAGAGGTCACGATTTTGCTTTGATTACAGTTCCCTCATCCTGAGAGAAGTTCTTTAAAAGGACCCAGTGCTACAAGTGCCCACGTTCCAACACAGCCCATCCCAATTTGGAGAATCAGAAATAGCCAAGGCTACCGAAGACAAGCTACCTTCTGACACATCACATTCACAGATCAGGTCCAGGAACTTCCAGAAATACTATGCTTAAGGATTACTATGAAAGCATCCACATCAGGGGCTTTGAGATAGACTAATGGGTTGGGGCAGACTTCCTTCTCAGAAGATGTGGGAAGTTCTGGAAGAGGGCAGAGAAATGAGGACCCAGATGCTTGAAAGAGATGTTCAGGTATAGGACAGTGTGAGAGGGGACAGGACAGGTAGAGGGGGGATGGGGACAGGTGGTGGTAGGGAACCAGTGGAGGAGGGGTAGAGGACAGGTAGAGGAGGGGCAAGGAGGCAGGTGGAGGAGAGGTAGGGAGGACAGGTGCAGGCGGGGCAGGAGGGAACTAACATTAGTTAAGACCTGATGAATAACAGCCTCTGTCTGGCCTTTATGTACATCTCATAGCAACCGAGAGACAGTGGGCCTATTAGGGGAAGTCAAATCCCTCGCTGGATCAAAAAATGGTAGCAAGTGAGTTTAGGGCTGTTAGCAAGCACCCTCCCCCCACTCCCGCCCAGTGGAGAGAATGTCTACTGGAGGAACCATGAGGAACCACACCCAGCCAAGGAAGGGTGCTGTGTCATCTCAGGGCATATTTCCAACCAGGGTTCTGTTCTGGGAAGAGCAGTCCCAACTGTGCTCCTCACTCTCTCTAACACTCTCCTGATTCTTCATGCTCAGGATAAAGTCCAAAGGCCCCAACACTATGACCTTTTACCACCTGGCTCTGACCTGCCCAGCCTTTTCCCCTGGACCCCAGCCTAGGGAGGTGACATGCCCAGCCTGCCCTTTTCCCTCTGCCTGCAGTCACTCCCACTGCTGGCCCTGCCCCTGCCCACAAGCTTAGGGGGAAACCCCAAAATGTCTTCAAGTGCACCTGAAGGAACTCCTTTAGGCTGGACATCTTTCTCAGGGAGCAAGCATTAGACCACCCTATACACCAACCACAGCAGACCCCTCACTCTCCCCAAATCAGTTAGCAGCTCTCACACCTCCACCCAGCTCATGCTGCTCCCACCACCTGTACCACACTCCCTCTGCCTTCAAGACCTGGCAAACATTGCTCAGAGGCCACTGCTTCTGAAAAGCCTTCCCAGGCAAACTGAGTCCCTCCCTTCATGGTGTTCCCATGACCCTTCATAGCCCTCTCGCTTTGCCCTCATTCAAAACATCTGGAGAGCTCAAACCCTGCCCTCAAAATGCTCAGACCTCAAACTGGTAATTAAACAGGGTTGGGGGAAGTACAGAGGGCTGGCAAACAGATGGGAGGGGGTATCCTGGAGAGTTTGGGGAAGAGGGGACAGTTAAGCTGAGACCAGAGGATGACCGGGGTGTTCCAGGGAAATAGAAAAAAACAAAGAGCAGAATGCCTTCAATTAACTAGAGCTGGAAAAGGAGAGACACTTCCTGGGCAGCCGGATCACAGAGGCTTCCCAAATGCCCTGGGAGGCCACCGCAAGTCTCTAATCTGGACGTTACAAAACCTGACATACTTTGAAAGATATCAGTACTGCTGTGTTGAGAATGGACTAGGAATGTGGGGGACGAAAGTGGCCATGGGGAGAATGCTAGCCACCCACCCAGAGCTACAGCAGAAAGGTGTCAGTGGGGTGGACAAATCGAGGTTAATGGCCGCGTTTGTAGGGCTGTTACGTGCACCATTCCCTGAGCTGCGGAACCCAGGAAAAAGGGAGGATTTGGAAATAAAAGATGCAGCCATTTCGTGGTCGGTCACTCACTAGCATCTGAGAGCCTTAACGTTGACAACATGCTGTGGTTCATCACCCCATGCACTATCTCGCTGAGTCCATGCTGCACCCTTATACTCCTTTTGTAGAGGAGCAACTGACGCCCAAAGCGAGGAACTCCTTGGCCCAAGGTCACGGAGTGAAAGTGAGATGGAAATTCGACCCCCTTCAGGGCTCCTGGACGCTCCCCGACACTCCGGAGGTGTCGCGCTGGACAGCTTAAATGGTGGGCGCTAGCACCTAGCGTAAGGGGAAACTGAGGGTCGGAGAGAGGCAGCCACCTGTCTAAGGCCACGGAGGCAGACAGGAGCGTCCCGGCGGCGATTGGAGACCCCCAGATGGACCAGCAAGGCCGGAGGGAGGGAGAGGGGCCCCCAAATTTCAGACCCTTGCGGAGCTGAGTGACGGTGCAAAGGGCTTTCAAGGAGGAGCAGGGAGCCGGGCCGGGGGCGGGCCCGCAAGGTCACGGAGGGCTCCGGGCCCGCGAGCCGCTCGCGCGGGGGGTGCGGGTCCCCAAGTCTGCCCACAAGCTGGGACAGGCGGGACCTGCGCGCTGCCGGGGACTGAGGGGCCGGGTCACCGCATCCAGCGGGACAAATGGGGCGGGCGCAGCCCTCACCTGGGCCGCAAGGAGAAGGGAGGCCGCCGCGAGCCACGACAGCGCCGCCGCCGCCGCCGCCATGTTGGCGGGTCCCAGCCATAGGCGTCGCCAGATGTTTCCGAGCAACGCCCCGGCGCCGCACGCCGCGCAAGCGCAATGCACGTGCCGCGAGAGCGTGCGGAGCGGGGTCAAAGAGCGCGGAGGCGGTGCCTCCGCACAGTGGCGCGGCGCGGCAAGATGGCGGTGAGCGGTGGGGGTGCCGGCTGGT